GACACGTGTAGACGAGAAAGGATACATGGGTTTGGCTTGTGCTTTGACCATCTGCTCTCCTACTAATTGCGATTATCTGCAGTTACGGACGACTACTCCGAGTACGAATCTGTCGACGAGGAGGAAGCGCCGCCTCCTCCCAAGACCAAGGCAAAAGCCAAGGCCGCAGAGGGAACGGACGTTGCGAAGTCCAAGCCCGCCGCGAAACCGGCCCCCGCTAAAGTTGCGCCTGCCAAGAGCGCCGCAAAGCCGACGAAATCTAGCAGCGGGTCGTCCAAGCCTGCGCCGGGGCCGAAAGGGAGCCTAGCCAATTTCTTTAGCAAGCCAAAGTAAGGTATATCGGTTAGTTTTTTTTTGCTTCCCGAGTCGCTTGCATTCGCTTGCATAGTAAATATTCCAATCATTGTATTCTCCATTGCTGTGTTTAAATGGCCATTTATATTGTATCTGACCTGATGAGAGCATTTCGACGAGCATACCTCGGACGGGCGGCAAACGTGAAGAAAAAGTTTCCGCCAGAGGTAATGATGCATCGAGGAAGTGCCGACGTACAGTAACCTGAGGTGGCTCGCCACTTATATGAGTGGCACTAAGAGCCATGCAGTAAAAATAAGGATTGGTTCCCGCGGGAAAGAGGTTTTCAGACGCGACATTTAATCACTATCCCCCCTCCCCCTCCTTCTCTGCTTCATCCTCGGCCTCATCCTCCCAAGCCGAATCATCGTGTCCCTCTCCCTCTCCGTCCCCGCCGATACCTCCCCACTCCGCGTCCTCACCACCAGATTCTGGCTCATCCTCGCCTTCCTCGACGCGCTTCCGCTTGCCGTTGACCGCCGCCCCGCTTGCCTTCCACATCGCCATCCGCCAGCGTCACACAGGTAAGGCGCGTCCCCTTGGAGTCGTATTCCGCGACCGGAAGAATCTCCAATACCGTCTTGTCTGCGGGAGACGCGGGCAACGACGCTAGATCGTACAAGAATATCTTCCCGTCGGACGATGCGGTGCAGATGATGGTCGTTGACTCCCGGGACGAGGCGGCGGGCAAAGCGATCGCAAGTGTCTGCACGCCTTTTACACTAGAGGGAAGGTTCAGCGAAAGACGGGTCCCGTCTGTTCAGCGGCGCTTACCGATTGGAATGGCCGGTCATTTCAGGCGATGATTGTTGGTATTTTTTCTGGGTCGCTGGAGATGTCGTATATCGACAGCTTCTTGTCCTCGGCGCCCGCGAGGAGGACGTCGCCCTCGCCGTTCACCCGTTTGCAGAACATTACGTCCTGCAGTCGGGAGGGGTGGTTTATTGTGTGCAGCAGAACCATGTCCTTTAGGAGGATGAGAAACGACCTGGAGATGCGAGGATATAGCTTACGGTCGTGTAAACGTCGATGGCGGAAGCCATTTGGACGACAAATAACGAGCCGTCTGAGGACCACCGGACAATCTCGGCCTCTGGTAGCGCTCCGTCAATCAAAAGGAACTCGAGAAATATTACAACGCCGTACCTTTGCCAATTTTTGTGCTCGCACACCCTTTCCCCCGCATCAGATCCCACATTCGTAAGGTTCTATCCTTCCCCACACTCAGGGCGACCTTTCCAGAAGGATGGACGGCCACAGAATTAACACGGCCCTTGTGCCCACGCAGTGCCCGAAGCACAGACCAGTCCCGCGCTCTGAATAAACACAGCGTCCCATCCTCCGACGCGGATAATAAATGCGACCGGGACGGAAAACTCAGGTGCGTTATTGAACCTTGATAGATAGACACAGTATTAGATATAGTTCTCTGTTTCGAGTCGATTAACAGACCCTCATGATGCATCAGCCCCCCAATTTCCTTGCGCCGGCGCAAATCCCATACTTTGATGATCTCATCTGCGCTCCCTGTTGCCAGCCATTTCCCGCCATTCGGGGATGCAGCGACCGCTTTGATGCATGAGACGTGCGCGGGGAAGATAAAGACAGGCTTCAGATGGAAGGCCAGGGCAGCGGTGTCTGCGTCGTAGGAAACAGAACCCTCCAGTCCATAGAGGAGCTTTTCGTAGGAGCCTGCGATGACCTTGAACGTCGATGGAAGTCCGGTGGGAGCATCGTCTTGGACAGCCGGCTTTCTCTTCCTCGCGGCCACTGGTTGTGCCTTTTCCTTTTCCTTGCCTTTCAAACTGGGTGCTGGTTGCACTTTTTTTGTCGGAACAGGAGAGCCCTTTACGCGGGCGGCAGAAAGCTTTGGAGGCTCAGTCCTGGCCTTTTTGGCTGCTCTTTCGGGACCCTTTGTCGTCGAGATATGTTTTGGCATGACTGCTTGAAAAAAAAGGCGTGTTGTTTGGACCCAAAGCCGATACCAAACTCTTTACTGTCGGCGACCTCCTCGCTGGAATGCGCGTAAATGTAACGCGTCTCTGGAACAGATTTCCACTTGGGAGTCGCCAAATATCTTCCTGGAGGCAAGCTATCAGTGAAAAAGACTCGAGTATCAATGCTTTCGTGTGCACCTCGGAGCCTGGAATCCTGGGTCAAGAGCATTTGCCTTTGCACCACACGGCTGTCGCGGTTAAAGACATGATATGCACCTCAAATATGCCGACGTCTTGCTCGTCTTCAATGCTGAGAGGCTCGTCAAACTGCACTTATTTTCTTTATCTCGTGGTAACATCCAAGCAGATTTTAGGCCCCCCTTTGACGCCACGGTTGTATCGCTGCTCCGAAGCGCAGGAGCGGACATTGTGGGGAAGCTAAACTGCGATGAGTTTGGCATGGGGTGAGGTCTACCTTACTTTTGTCGCGCTTTCAGCTAACCGTACAGATCGCTGAATGTGCATTCAGTCCACGGGCCCGTCATAAACCCATTTCAGGCTCCGTCATCATCTACATCTTGGGCTGGCCGTGAAAAACGATCGGCTGGAGGCAGCTCTGGAGGCAGCGCGGCGGCGGTAGCGGCAGGATTGTGTTCCGCGTGAGTAGACATTTACCTCGGTTTTGTCCTGCTACTGAATCTTATCGGAAAGTGCTCTCTCAACGGATACTGGTGGATCAACCCGTCTACCAGCGTCATATTGTGGTGTCGTTGGACTCAAGCCGTCTTACGGCCTTGTAAGCAGGTACTTTCTTCTCTCTTGTCCTTCTACATTTGCTGAAATAAACTAGATGGGGTGTAATATCTTTCGCAGACAGTCTAGATTGTGTCGGGGTCATGGCAAAGGATGTCGCTGGGACCAAGCGCGTCTTCGGTTTGTGGGCCTCATCTCTCCAAAGACAATCCACGACGGTCCCATAGATGTCTTGAATGCCTATGACGCCAAGGATCCCACGTCTGTGTCTTCCAGCTCGCGGCAGCTTGCAGCTGCTCAAGCCTGACCAAGCCTGGCCCGCTTCGAACCTCGCTAGTTTGCGGATAGGCATCCCGCAGGAATACTTCCCCACTGAGCTGTCAGACGAAGTTTCGAGCCCAATGCGCACCGTCATCGAGGACCTGAAGTCCCGAGGCGCGACGATCGTTCCCGTGTCACTGCCCTCCACTCCGTACGCTCTCAGCGCATACTACGTGATTTCCAGCGCAGAAGCGAGCAGCAACATGTCTCGATATGACGGCGTCCAATACGGTATAGACTATCCACAGCCTCCTCCTAGCCTTACTCAGTCGAAACATAGGACTGCATGTGCCTCCACCCCCTGGAACCTGACCTCACCAACACGGCCGCGATCCTATGCTCACACTCGTTCTGCCGGCTTCGGGCGCGAAGTCCAAAAGCGTATACTCCTCGGTACCTACGCCCTCACCGCAGAGTAAGCAACCCTTTCTGCACCCTGCTTCTCTGAGCAATATTTCAGCGCCTTCGACAACTACTTTTTGCAAGCGCAACGAATACGACAGCTAGTCCGCGACGACTTCAACCGGGTGTTCCGTGTCCCCAACGTCTTGTCCTCAGCAACGGAAGGCAACAACGATGGTGTTGACGTCCTACTCCATCCTTCCGCCATGCGCACCGCTCCGAAACTAGGCGCTATCGACGCAACGAGCCTGGAGACATACCTGCAGGACGTGCTCACTGTGCCCGCATCCTTTGCGGGACTGCCGGCTCTTAGTGTGCCCATTCGAAGCAGTGACAGTAGCTGGCCGGTCGGAGTCAGCGTGGTTGGTCAATGGGGGTGCGATGAGATGGTTTTACGGGTAGGAAAATTTATAGAGGCACAATAAATTAGTTTCTACATTCTGTTGCACCCATCCTCTATTCAATTCAATTCAATTCAATTCAATGTTCCATTAGAGTGCGCGCGGGCCCCTGGGGCCCATGTAGCACTATACGTAACAGTGTAAATAACTAGCGGCCGAGAGGGAGGGGGCACGGGAGGGGTGTCAAAGTAGAGTGGAGTGGGACATAGGAGGGTGCTGTGAATGTATAGTAAGAATTTGGTGTCTAAGCGGGATGTAAAGACTGATGCGAGATGTAATGTATGTATGAGAGAGAGAGAGAGGAAATAAGAAAGAAAGGAAAGAAAGAGGAAAAGTGCGAGCTCAGAGGGAGTAGCGGGGGAACCGCCTGGTGTCGCACACGAAGCCCAAGACCGGACCGGGATCAGACTTCGCCGAGAGGAGGAGGCGGAGCGAGAGGCGGGCAGTGCCGAGGCGACGGATTAGGGCGAGGTGTTGGCGGTGATAGATGGGGCACGAGAGGAGGTAGTGAGCCACGGTCTCGGGGACGAAGCACAGGATGCAGTCGGGGGACGGGGTAAGATGGAATCGGTACAAATACGTGTTGAGGGCGAAGTGGGTCGTCCGCAGTTGCGTCAGCACGCTGCACTGCGGGCGGCTCAAGTCGTCGTACAGTCGCGCGACTGCGCTCGATGGTTTGGCATTGTCAGGCGGCGGAAGCGCGGGGATGCAGACCATTCCGCGAGCCAACGTTCTCGGAACCGCTTCGCGCCCGCAGCCAATGCCGCTGGTTTGCTCGCCGGGAGGGGGACTCGAACGCATACAAAGCTCCACATTTTATCCAATTTGCAAGGGCCGTCTAGCTCAGTTGGTTAGAGCGTCGTGCTAATATTAGTCGTCCTTTGGACCCTGTAACGCGAAGGTCTTGGGTTCGACCCCCACGATGGCCATCTTTTTGATCTTCTCCGTTTTTCTTTTGATCATCGTTCCCGAAATGAAGTACGACTTATAGTAATTTCTTCTGCACACTTGGAAAATCCACAATTAGCCTACAGAATGTCCATAGTACCGTACTACGCTACAGAAGGGTTGATACGCATACAAGATTCCCAAGATATATCTATACATATTGTTAACTTCACGGGAGCGCAGATTGCCAATGCCATTCGTGTGTGGGGCGAGGGTTGCTCCGCTGTATTGGATGCCGGAGAATATCGTCCACGCGATCCTCGGGTATCTCTTCAAGACCTAAATACGGATCGTAGTAATTGGATTCTCGATACTGTTGTCGAGGAGAAGTGCTAGTAGTGTTGCGCAGTAGATTCATTTGAGACGGAGAGAGCGATTGAGTCGTGGCAGATGTCGATGGCGAACTACTTGGCCCTCCTCGTGCTGCGAGACGGAGCGGCTAACAAACAAACGGAGTGAGCGGCGAAGAACGAAGGAGAGGGTAGAAGCCACTGACTTTCAGGTTACGCGAGGCTTGCGTCATGACGGAACCGTGCTCGGCGACGAGGGTTGAGGCGCTGAGATGGGACTCGTTGGTGTTGGCTCGGTTCACGGGCGGTGGATCGAAGGAGTCGTCGGCGTCGGTGTTTGCGAGCTGGTACACCTGCCTTGGATCGCGCGGGAGGTGAGGTGTTGTATGTCAGCGGCGTGGATTCGGAAGCGGAGCCTCGCGAGTCGAATTGGGACTGGACCATGTAGCCACGTTGGAGGCGCATCCAGAGGGTTTTGTTGCGACGTAGCACGTACTGTCATGAATCTGAGCACAGACGGTAGTGGCCGTTGTATGGGTACGCACCAGGAGGGCGAGAGTGAGAACGACGAAGGCTAGCGACGCTGCTACAATGCCAAAGATGGCGCCGGCTCTGCACGGAGGTCAGAAGTTTAGTGAAGGACGAAATTATTCATCCTACGGAAGCTTCTTGTGAGGCTGTGGATCCTGGGTTGGGAAAATGGGTCCACCTCCGGTTCCGGGACCTACTGTGGTTGGTATAAGGCTGAAGAGGATGAGCTGGCTGAGCTCGATGCCCTGTAAAGAAACCGAGATCGGTATTGATAGTGGAGAGAAATGAAATTTTGATACAGGGTACGGACGACGGCGAAATCGATCTCAAGAAGCTTTCCCGGTGTCTGGTTTGTAAGAGTGACTGTGTGGTTTCCTGGGCCGAAGTTATCGGCATGGTACAACAAGGACTGGGGCGAGAATATGTCCCTCGTAGCCACCAATGCGTAGGAGGGCTGATCGTCTTCTTGCACAAGGTATTGCGAATTTTCGGGGCCGGTGGTCCCGTATATGGATAAAGCGTCACCTGGCGCGCGGGGGTCAATTGAGTCATCATCGCAGCATATAGAAGCTGGATAAAATTACCCTGCAAAAATCGTGTGAGTATGACTGGACCGTAGAAACGGTCGGAAGGCAGTGTTTTGCTTACAGAGAACGTATACGTGACTCCTGCTTGGTCTCTGGAGGTCGAGCTAGATCGCATAGGCTGAGGACGCTGAGAGGATATGAAAAAAGACACATACTGCCCAGTTCCGTTACTGAAGTTCGCCAGATTCGTGGAATTCATGAGCCACGTCCCCTTGGGAAAATAAGAGAACCCAGGGTCACTATCCTCGATCTTGGTTTCTTGAAGCTGCGCATTATCCGAGACGTTTTGCGGGCCGAGGTCGGACGACCAGGTAATCTGCGGAAGCTCAGTCAAGGCCAGTTCGAAGCAGGCAGGTAAGCACGCACTCGGTCGATATCCAGGTATTGGTATTCGTCATTGGAGATAACCAGAGTGTGGAGTCCCTGAGTTAACTTGGGGGATATGAATATCGTTGTCTTGAATTCCCCAGGGTACTCCCCAAAGCCGCTTAGGTGGTAGGAGATTCCGTCGAGTGTAACCGTGTAGTTGCCGTGGTCAGTATCCTTGGAGCCGAATACAGTAACCGATGTTCCCTGATATCTCAGTGTCGCCGAGGCATTCTGCCATTGCGTCCGCATGGAGCCATAGCCGAAGGTCCTTTGCAAATCATTATGGGTCCCGGAGGTCAAAAGAGGCTTCGAACAACAACTTACTGGTCCGGCTCGGGGGCCTGCCACTGGGCCCACTGACCGCCAGGCTCGTACGTAATCAGTGGGCTACAGTCGTCAATTGTGGTGTTGAGTGGGATCGGCATGGTTCATGAGTAAACGAATGGCTAGCTGAGGTGTCGGCCACCGGGGCCTTTGAGATAGAGGTCGTTCTCGGGGACTTGAAACAAGATGCTGGCAGAGCTCCAGAATGAAGGATCCTTGACGGAAGCGAACAAATGATCATCATGGAAATCCGAGCCATTTTGGGCGCAATGCCGCTATGAGTGCGATTCAGCACCCGTCGACGTCAGCTTGTGGGGGGCTATGCTACGAAAGGAAGAGCCCTCGAGGATTTCCCACCAATCGTGTTGCGCAGACCAGTTCCCATTCCGATAAAGATCTTACACAACAACCAGCGCGTCATCTCATAGCGGCTGTGACTCTTTGACGCTGTACAGATTCAATGGATGATCTTGTTGAGCCACTTAGCCCTAATATAGCAGATAGCAGTCACGAGCAGCCAAGGAGACCGCTCCAAGCCTGTTTCCGTATATCGCCGAAACTGTGGTCGAGCCTGTTATAAAATTCCGGATTTCAAGAGCCAGACGAAGCGCAGTAGAAGAGCTCATAGACAGAACCAGACAATACTCAAGGAGAACCTCAGAGTGGCAGGAAGTGGCAAGAGCGATGTGGATGAAACGGTGATCAAACGGCAAGTTCGGCACTGCCGCACACTGCCACCGCACTGTAAACTCGACCAGAACATTCATGTCATTTTCAACAGTGGTCGCTTTCCCTTATGTACCTTTCCGTGAACGTTCAAAAGCCTTCGGGAAGTATCTTGGGGTTAGTCCAGTAGCAGACAGGCGCAGAATCTCTTCTTACCACTCAATCGGCGTTCTTACAGCAGTCCCAAGTTCTATCCATCCCCGTAGCGCTGTAGGGAGTTGTTCTTTTCCCGTGAATTTATTCCGGACGTCTACACAACCTTTTTGCATTTCCACCCGCGGAAATCGGTCTCGCTGCTTCGGGGTTCAACGTTCAACTTCTAATTAGTCTTCGCTATCAGATAGGCATTGCACCTCCTCTCCAAATTTGACACGAGGCGTGCTTCGCAACCATTGGACGAAACTGGACAGCTCCTTCTTTCAATTACCCACGCCCGATGAATCGCACACCCTCCCGGTCGATTCTGCGACGAGAGAGTACAGAGCGACTGAGCTCATTTCGAGTCTGGTCAGATTCAGGTGAGTTTTATAATTCTAGACGATGGTCCATGCGATAGATTGACTGACCTCGAACTCACAGACTCTACCGAACGAGGGGAACGAAAAAACGGGGTGTGTGCAATCCAGGATTCATAGGCACGGTTTAACGGGTCAAGGCCACTCAGCCTGTGCGCCACGAACAACCAAAAAATATCGCCACTCCGGAGCGTCGGCGCCTTACGGATAGCAGAGGCTCACCTGTCAGCGCACGCCTGCTTACTGGTCGAGCAACAAAAACAGATCCGGCCCAATCGCGTGGTCAATCTGGCGCGGACCGCGATGCCAACGCAGCTAAAACGGGCGTTGTCAAAACTGTGCATAAGTCGCCCAGCCTGCAGGCGGAGAAGCTGGAATTGGCGAAGGAGCGTTTAAGGCTGGATCAGAAGATGCTCGTCTTGGACACTGCAAACCTCGCGCTTGAGCGGGAGCGCCTCGCCTTCGAGCGAGAGAGCGCGCGCGTCACTAATCTTGTCGAGCTGCTCAAACTGCGTCGTATGCCTTGGTCGAGGGCCGATACGAAGCAAATCGAGGCCGAGATTGAACGTCTCTCCATCTAATTACACAGCTCGACACCTATTTCTTGATATCATGAATTCAAACAAATCGCTTGATGGTCGAGGTGGTTTTTTAACGCACTCAGATTTACTCTAATTTTCGGCGCAATTTTTTCGAAGGTTTGCTGGTATCCTGTTGCATTTATTTGCCAAATCTCTCACGATCTTTCAACCTGCTGGAGCAGACAAGACGAATTTTATATGAACGATACCGGCGTTCTCGAGAGGGATGCAAGTGCACACCAGCGTGTTCAGAACAAAGTCTAAAGGGCGCAGCGGCATTTTTATGAAATAAATGAGTACATAGTTGGCGAGTTGAAAAAGTCGAACAGAATATTAGAAAATAATAACTGATTCGAATAAGCATCTTCTGCGTGAACTAGCTGAATCATTCTGATTCTTGCACATTACAAAACGAATCCAACGAGCTGCGCAAGTAGGCGGGCCATACACTGCCGATAAATTTTCTAATTAAACAAGTACGATGAATCGATTGTTCGGCAAACGCAATTCTCTCAGGCGAAACCTCTAGCAAATGAAAGTCTAAGGAAAGTATGGTGGAGTTGAAAAAATGAGGTAGCAATACCATAACGTAGCGCAAGAATCATGATTGGGATGCGCACAAAATATCAGTCACGTTAACATCGAATGTGCCCGCCGTAATCGTATTTCCAAGTGTGTCGATGGTAAGGGCCAATCCTGGAGTAATCACGAACTGATTATAGCTATATTGAGTGAAGATCACAGCTGGATTAACTGCTTAGTGAAATGTGAAGTCGGACAGGAGGCAGACTCACCGCCGTTGTGCATGCCTTGCGCACCGACCGTCGAGGAGCTGCCAGAGTCGGAGACATCGTAGTACTTGACAAGAAACACTCCAGGGCGCGCTATGCTGTATTCCACAGTATAGTGATAGTACTCGGTGGGTGCCTGATAGTGAGAGAAGAGATACTCGACCTAGAGTGAACAGGTCAGCAAATAAATCAGATGACATCGACTCAGGTGTCGTACAACAATTCCAACGGGTCCATTGTTATTTATGATCGAATAGTAGATGCGCT